GAAGAATGTGCTTGTATAACAAGCAAAAAGTGTAATTCAATGATTTTTTTCTAATTCAACATTCCTCCAAAGCCCCTTTCGATTTGATTCACTGTTAAATGCCAAGTAAAATTCTGCAGAAGCTCATCTTTAAAAGATGCTAACTAAGCCCCCTGTGCAAGCTTTATGTTAGAAGGGACAACATATAACTACAAAAACATAGATGTACATGCCAGCATCTCAGTGTGTGTGTAGGAGCAGTCTCATGCTTTTTATGTAGAACAGCTGCAAAAATTAAAAAAAAAAAAATCATTGTCTCTCCATTGCTTGTTAGAATTAACTTCTTTAATTAGGAAAGCTATTCAAAATTAATACTGAACTTGGCCCCTGGATTCTTCTTAGGTCCTTACAAACTGTCACCACCTGCACATATTTAAGGTAAACAAGGTACTTTTTGGAAATTACAGCATGCATTGCAACAGCTAGAGAAAAGTTTCTAGTGACTCTCTCCATCTTTTAGGAAGTCTAGTTTGTTTGTTTACTCTGATTCAAGAGGTCTTAAAATATTAAAATCATTTGAGAATAAAAATCACCCTTGAAAGGTTTTTCTTTCTTCCTGAGAGGGGAGCACAAGCCAGCAGCCTGCTGTTCTGCAAGTATTTCTGGCGTCTGATTAATAAGAAGTGATCTTCGAAACGTGAAGATATGAATGCTTGTTCCTTACAGACAGCACTGCACAGTCCTCTCAGCCACACCCTGCGACTACCACGAATTTTTACACAGTACAGTGCTCTTTCTAACTAAAACCGCCCTTGCTCCTGGCCTACTCCCTTACTTCCAGGGAAACAAGGCATGTGCAAGAAGCTGGATGATAAGGGAAAGCTTATGAGTCAGAATCTTAGCTACTTCAGTCCTGTTTTCTGTGTAGCTAAAACCTGTTTTTCCTAAAAGATATGTTAGGCTAGGCCTCAAGTAGTTAAATCAGCCAGGAGTTTCTATAGCCATGATCAGGCCAAGAGATAGCAGTGCTGTAAGACAGAACTACTCAAAGAAACAAGCAGCACCCTGACAATCAAGTCAAAACTAAATAGTGAACAACAGCCTCTTCCAGAGCAGTGTTTCCATCTCAACCCTTTTAGGCAAAAAGCAGGCTCAACCCACCACCCAGCACAATAAACAATCCCAAACCTTCAAAGTCTCTTTACTATTCCTCGTTGTCTTTCCACCTTTGCTTACAGAGGCTCTTTAACAGGTAACGTGTATCTTGTGACTAATAAGCGTTTTTTTTCTTACACAATCCTGTAATACGGATGTTGAAAAACCCCGGGTAAGAAGATCTGGTTTCTGCAGAAGGGGCGTGCAAACCGGATTAGACAGGGATTTATTGCTAAGGCTGCCAGCTCTGCTTTTCAACATTGCCCTTCTTAGATGCAGGCACTGACAGGGCCTTGATGGGATTCTTGGTGCCAGCTCAGGAGAGATTTTCCTTGGTACAATTCTTCGATTTCACGTTCCCACACTTCATAGTTTTCTACGCATTTTGTTAGCATTGACAGACTCCTGGAAAAATCCTGCCAACGATTTCTAGACAAGCAGTGGAGAATATGGCCACATCCAAACATTTGCTAGCAAAATTAAGGCCAGGAAAATGTCATTGGGGCTGAGAAACACACTTACCATGTAACCCATTAAGATGTCCTGAGCTGTTAACAGCTCGTTTTCTCAGGGAAACAGTTTTTAGTTTAACTGATTTGAATTCTCCCAAACCGAAACTAACAGCACAATAACAAGTGTTTGTAACCTGCTTCATTTTGCTCCCCACCAGGACCAGTTCAAGAAGAGCAAAGAAACCCTACCTCCTCTTTGGTGAAGGTTTAGGACACCAGGTCAGTTTTGGAATATGAACAATCTCATTTGCTTAAATCAAACGACCTTGCTGTATATGTAAGAGGTGAGGAGTGTTAGAAGATGCAGAGGATTAGCATAATTTATGATCTGGTGAATAGGTTGGTCCACTCAGCTCAGCCTTTTACCACAGCAGCAGCACCAAGGGCATCTTCAGAATAAAACGTAAATAATTATGATAATGGTTTCCAGTTTGGCAAGCATTCATACTACAATCCTATAGTAATAGAATAACAATCGTAGATAATAATTTACATCCATTCTTCTCATTGTAAGCCCTCAGCAGTGCAATACAGCCAAAATGAGCCCAGAAGCATCTCACTGGAGGAGCAGCCAGGCAGAACGCCTGCCCAGTACAACACACTGCAACACAAACAGTAGGAATGGGACTACCGGGTATTTTGGAGCTGGCAGCTCCATACAACCAACCTTGATCTGCAGGAGCCCTGCAGGCGACAGTGCCCATGCACAGCCCTGAGACCTGCCTTATTCTTATCCCAGCAGACCAAACTCTGCCAAGACCAGGCAGCTTTGCTTCTTTCTTCACCAAAGATGGCAAGGGCAGCTCTCCATCTTCGCTCGTGGCTGTCCTTCTCAGCACCTTCAGCCAGCCTTCCCGAGCCGCATCCCTGAGCATTATTATCTCTTCGGTCTCTGGTTTACGGCAGTGACCAGGGAAGCACAAGCAGCCGCGCCAGTGTATTTTCCCCCTCATTCCCCTTGCCTCCTGTGACAAGCTGCTCCTCCTGGGGGAAGAAAGTCCCCTTTCCCCCACTGAACCCTTTGCATCCTCCCAACTAGGGACTCATGGATCTTTCCAGCTAGCACCAGCCCCCCAGTATCAGCTCACACATCCACTGGTTGTCACCCTAGACTCCAGTATTACCAGTTGCCTTCTCTCGTTGCCCAAGAGCATGAGAAAAGCAGGTGCAAATCTTTCAATGAAAGGCATGATTTTTTCTCAAAAAAATCAGCTCATTTGCAGCAGCATCCCTTTTGCCTCTAGTTTGAGGGACCGCAAAAGTTGAAGAGCAGAGTGCGGAATGCTGCCCATCTTCTAAAATGGTCAACGTAACTGCGAACTAGTTTCTTGGGGAAAACCCTCTCAGTCAGCTCCCCAAATAAGCCTCTTTCTTGGTGAGCATCTGAAGTTTTACAATTTAAGTAGATGGTGATTTTTTTATTGCAGTTAAATTAACATGAGCATTTACATAGATGCAGTATGTAAAACAACTGCTGATAGACAGAGAGCCTGGGAGGATATGGTTTGTACGGGAAGCAGGCAGATGGCCCATTTCATATTCCCACTTCCTACTCTTGTGGCTTTGTCACACAGGCTTTATGGTATCACTGTTGCTTTTACTTGCTCAATCACAACCCATTTCAATCAGGCAAAGGATTGATATAAACACTACTATATATGTTATGCAAAATTTTAACCAAATAATTAAAAACTAAAAAGTCTAAGGGGAAGGAAGTGGAGAAAGTAGAAAAACTTCCATAGTTTTGGTAAAAGCAGGAACTCATGCTGGGAGAAAAATTTTGCTGCCTAGAAGAAAAAGACCTGACAATGCTAAAATTACCTTTATGTTAAACTACTACCAGATAGTACTGAAAAATATTCAGCTTTCACTGAAGAACAAAGAATGGAGCTCTATGAAACAGCAGATTTGGGGTTTTGTTTTTTAATAATTTATTTAGTAGCCAGACTAAGAGTTAACCATTGAAGCAGAAAATAATTTAATTTTCTTCGTTACCTTATTCTTTGTTTACTGTGTACATCCATCTCAACAGGTCTTTTGACATGAATCACCAAAGACTTTTGAAATTCACTTGTTTTTCTAAACATCATTTTACATTCAGAATGGCAAAAACTACTTGTGAAACATTAGCCATAAGAAAGCTTATATAATTTGAATTCAAAGAGAGGTAACACTGAAATGCTCAGAACTAAACTTCATCTATACCTAAAGCTTTGCATTTCATGAATGTGATGTGGTATACGAACAAAAAAATCTTGCACTCGCATCTCCATGCCTAACAGTCACAAGCAACTGCCTCCAAGTGTAACTTACTCATACTCAGTGGTCATTCAGTCACCTCTGCCGGTACCACGCAGCTGTCATGAACAAGCGAATACATAAAGCACATACACCCTGTATTTAATCCTGGTGATACTGATTGCATTAAAACTATACAGTAAGCTTCCTGTAACCAGTTTGGCAAAGTCTGTGAAGAATGTACCAGTATAGTTTCTCCACTGGACAGCTTGCTCAAGTGGACAGGAGAGATTTAGAACTGGAACTTCCATCAAATCTGTCTTGTCTACAAGTTCCAGTCCTGACTTCCTCTTCCACTGACCATTCATAACTTTTCCTTTCTCTAAAACACATTTTCTATCCTATGCAGTGGAAAATGTTTTAGGTTTCAAATCTAAAGTCGTATCAGTTTTGTTAGAGTAATCACTTAAAATAAAGAGGAACTATTGCAGGCAATCAACATCAAATACAGTTTATTTCCAATCATTTGCCTAATTCACATGCAAACTGGTTTATATTATTAAAAGTAAACTGCATTGAGAAACAGCCCAGTTACCCTTTAACCTTAGCAGGATTGCTGTACAGCTGAAAGTACAATGGTTAATATAATTTGTTTTAACTTAGGGAAATGTGGTCAGATAGGTATTGAAGACTTCAGAGACTTTCCACAAAGAAATATTTATCTATTCAGTAGCCTCTCTACTGCACTCATCTACATGAAACATTTCACTTGTTAATCCCACGTTTGAAGACCATATTCTTTGAAGCACAGCAGTCAGGAAAAAATACTTGGAAATACAAGAAATATAAAAAGATAACTTAGTAACTAGCAAATAATACAAGATTACAGTAGTAACTTAAGTATTCTCCCGTACTATTTCAAGCTAGAATACTGAAACCTTAAACAATTCCCACATTTTAGCACTGACACAGAACTACAATACACAAAGTATATAAGCAGGGGGGAAAAGCTGCTTTGCAAGAGGTAGAAAAGGTTTTATAAAATCTTTAGGCACAATTCTTTGAAATCTTTTAAAAGCCATCAGAATGTTAAAAAGTAATAATGACCATTATACATGTATTTGTACAAGTCTGTTTATTTTTACCCTTTGGAATAAAAGTATATTTCATGCACTCTCATATAATCTTTTTTCTTCTATATTGTTTTAAGACTATTTTTCTCCTATATCATATATGATTACAGAAGTTTTACAAGCTCTCAGGAAGTCTTATCACGAGGAGTTACACAGTAAAACTGACACACTATTACTTAACACTTTTTCAAGAGGAGCAAGGGAATGCAAACACCGTTTGCATAAGTTTGTGTAACAAAGAACAGAGAAACACACACTCAAAATCCATAAAAATATTACGAGTTCTTTTGGTTTACTCCTGCCTCAATGAAGAAGTGAATGCTTTTAGAAGTGAATGTTTTTTTTTTAAACACAATTTCCACAAATGTATGCTTTACAGTGCAGTGGTTACACTCAGATTTTCACAATATTCATAAATCAAAATACCAAGATCACTACATTTACCATAAGCTAACAGACATTCGCAGATAAATCTTAGTGTCAGTTCAAAAAGATGCCGCCTTTGAGCTAAAGTACATAAGGCTTTACTGGTAACAAGTTCTTATCGAAGATTTGCTTTATTCCTGTCACAGCATCTTTTTTTGCTCGTTTTACTTTTTGTCTTGGTCTTTTTTTGCATCCAGAAGTGCTGAACGGATTCCTAGCTTCTTCAGCTCTTCTACGAGATCTCCATTCTGATGCATCTGGAGCAGTATATCACAGCCACCAACAAATTCGCCATTGAGGTATACTTGTGGGATGGTAGGCCAGTTAGAGTAGTTTTTTATTCCTGCATAAGAAAAAAATAAAAGTAGTAAAGGTTTTCCCCTCTCTCCAAATAGAATGGGTTTTTAAACAGAATACATTGCTTCAGCCTGACAGAACTACTGATATTTTCATTTCTTCCCCACTGAGGCAAAAATGTATCTATATACCAGAAGCACTATCAGAAACACTATGTTAAAGTTAGGTTTGTTTCTCATTCCAACTCAAAGATGTGGGTTGAAAGATATGGAGTCAGCTCCTACACTGACTTCAAACAGGAGCTGGAAAAATGTAGCGTCTCTTTTCCCTCCCAGGAAACAAGCAAATGTGATTTTTCAATCAGTTAAACAAATGCGAAGTCTTGGAAAACATTGAGAACTGTTTACATTTAGTTATCCTTTATATTTCCCAAAGGGACTTTAAAATATTTTATCTTTTCACTGAATTCACACAGTTATACTTAGTACTGCAATTTCAATTGAAAGATACATTCGCCCCTCTAGAAGCCTTATGAATTTCAAATTGCTTTATCTTTCATTGCCAGACTTCACAGCCCATGGGAGGGGCACAAAGGCTGAAGTCTCTTAAAAGTACTCACTAAACAAAACAGCTCGAGTCACAATTGTGAAGTACAGAATTCAAGTTTGAAACCATACTTCACGGAAGACAAATGTAAGACCATCCAAAAATATGAACTGATCAGCTGGTATATATTGGATCCCAACTTGCACTTAAAGACATCATACAAAAAAATTGCCACTGTTTAAATGATCCTTCACACAAAGCCATTATTTCTGTAGCAGAAGAAATAGTTAAATTCTATATCTGCATGCTCTTACACCAAGCTGATCAGCACTTGCTTAGATACCAAAGTTTTGAATTAAACGTTTTTATACATTTCCAATATGCAATGCCTGGAATTTTTCTACCAAAGGCATGAAAGCCCATACAGCAAATTTAAGCCTACAGACAACAGAGGTGCCTTTTCAGATCATCAGAGCCCATTCACCTTGGAAGTCAACCCTCTAAACAAGCATGTGCAAGCTTTAGCATAGGCTGTCAAAGTACTAACAGCAAATATTAGATCTGTATAGCAGAAAACAAGGGAATTTGCTTTCCCCTTAGAAAACATTTTAACCTCTAAAGACTGTAAAGGTAAAACCCAAAATATTTGAGGGAAAAAAAAAAAAAAAAACACGTAAGCAAATTATGCTTACTTTATTGGAACTTAAAACACTTTCTTTTTTAAAAAAATATGCATAAGTGCATAAATATGCAATGGGATTACGATATTAATGCATAAAAGATGAAAAAGAGCTAATAATTCCCCTTAGTCAAATACCAGTGCATTTAAAAAAATCCACTAAGATAACAGTAATCTAGAAAAAAATGTTGTTGTGACAAAGTGTTCCCAACCATGAAGTACAACATCAGCTAAGAGATTTCATTTTGACTTATGATATTGTGCATAGACAACCAATGCTTCAAAAGTCCAAAATAGCAAGTTTAGCATATAAATCCAGGCCAAAGGGAACCCATAACGATCTAACCTAATCTCCAGCATCACCACCTGTAACTTCTTCCTTAGCATTTCATTAAAACCTCTCAATTGTTTGGATACAGTTTGCAGAAATTAGTAGTTTTGATGTGAACTTGTGTTTAGCGGTACTTTTCTTAAACACTCCTTTGCTTTTGAGCACTCGAAAGTGGTCTGTCCTAAAAATCTTTTAACCCACAATAGTTGCAATGAAAAACTGAGTCCCAATGCTAAGGCACGCTTAAGGGTAACCCTACTCAAAGGAGACGCTGCAGATATGAAATAGGGTTTGTTTTTGTTAAGATACCGTAATGCTAAACGTGAACTGAGAACCAAGGGCTCCACATAATAAATCTACTGCAAATAAGCATTCCACAGTAACATTTACACCAATTATTCTCTCACAGAAGTATTTTCTTCAAGGACCCAATTGCACATTCATACAAGCACTGATAACACTTTCAAGGATCTATCCAACTTCAGATAAAAATATGACTACAATCAAGCTTAGTTGCTGTGTATGCTGCATTTCATGTATTGGACAAGCTGCTTTAAATGCCTGCATGCATGAGGCTCAACCAGACAACAATCTGAAGCAGCTAACCAACTCCTAGCTTAGTAGAGCAGTTACTGATACTGTTTCAGTCGTGTTAAAGCAAGTTAGCCTGGTCTACGCTTGCTGCACTCGGGATGCGCTCTTGTGGTGAATCCTCTGGCAGTACAGACACCCCAAGGGATCTCCTTCCCCCTCCCTGCAGGTTAACACTTCCCACTGCGCTTCAGAAGCTCCAGCTTCTTCTTTGAACCACTGTTTCCTTTGTAAAACCACACTCCGCAGATCAGGTTTACAGTTTGACAGCTGAGCTAGGACGCTTTAAGCTGACTGTGAAACCAGAATCGGTGCAAAGTGCGACTGAAGGGGGTACCTATCGCACTCCCACCCCGCTTCCCCAGTTCCAGCTACCAATGCTCAGTCTCTCTCTTGCCAGCATTCGCACTAATGAATGATGGGCCGCATCACGGAACGGACTCAAGCAACCACTCTCACTCCTACCACACTTTCTCCAGAAAAGCAACACGTTTTCATGGAGATCATTAGTACTGGTACAAGCGTGACTGAGGGAAGGCTAGCCCAAGGGTGGGAGGAAGGTTCAAGACCACCCTCTTGGCAGCCTCCCATGCTTGGGTCATGTAAAGCAACAACAAAAACAATCCGAGGACGAACTACCACAACAGTTCAAACCAGTTTAAACCACCACTTTTCTAGGATGCAATCCCAAACTTCTCTGCCACCTTAGTAACCTGAGCCAGCCTAATGCTGTCCATCAGTTGAGAGCAGGATCACTTCTGGAAGCACCAACTTAGAGAAACTTGAATTGCCACCGAGTCCAAGAGAGTGCCAAGATCTCTTAAACCAGCTTTAATAAGGGAGGATTTGTGTCAGGGAAGCATCTCCTCAGCTCAAGTTCAGATAAATCACATGAAGTACCACCAACTATTTAGTTTCACAGATCTGAGTGTGCTTTTAGGCAAGTAGAGGAATTGTTTTCATTTTACAGCTTGCTGTATTTTAGCACAAGGCAAGTTTCAGCAGTTGAACTATAACAACCTGAAAATAAGGTGTTTTAATAGATACAGGGAAGAAACCAACAAGCACTTCAACCATGCCTGAACCACCATCTCTGCAACAGCCTGCTCTTACTACAAATGGTATAAGCATACGTATATGCAAACATTTAAGTTATGTTCAGCTGAATACAAAGCTGATGACCAGCTCACAAACAGTAATCTCCTTGCAAATCAACCTTTAGTTGAACAGATGTATTAGATATTTTCACAACTAAAGGTTCAGCATCCCTCACTAACCCACATGTATTCAGTGCAGATTATGTTCACAGAGAGGGCTTAGGAAAGCATCACATGCCACATATCTAACTTTTCAGCACCTGAGGCCAGCTCCAGGAGGAGACTAAGAGGGCCTTCAGACAGCCACTGCTGAATCGCACTTGGCAACTTACAGGGCAACAGCTTCCAGCAGCCCTGCCCTCTCCTCTGCTAGCGACTGCCATCCACAGAAGCAGGCACGTACTGGCTTTTGAGGGTGCAGCAGGTAATACAGTTGAAGCAATGTGACAGCCCGCTGGCCTTGAAAGCAGTGGTGGTGGTCCCCAGCTCTTTTCTTCACCCTGGTGCTGGCTCTGGCACTCACCTCACAGCACAAGCCAGTTCAACTCATACGCCCAGTGATCCAGTTAACAAATCAATCTGGCTCTCTGTGCAGTCGGACAAGTGCCAAAGCTTGTGCATGGAAGGGAACAGAACAACTTCTTTAAGCACCTGAGAACCAGCAGGACATTGTGCAAGTGTACGCTCTGTTACTGCATTCAGCGCGGCTTAGCCAAACAGTCCGGATCAAACCACTAATTTCAATTTAAAGCTCAGGTAGCCAGGAAGGCAGTAACCTCTCGGATCACCTAGCACAAGCCAGAGTTCATGTGGCAGGAACATTTGCTGTGCTCAGAAGGGAGATGTTCCTGTTACATAGGAAGAAAATACTACATATTCACATGGTCAAGGCCCAGAGATTATAACTGACAAACGCATTGCGTCTTCAAGGGCTCACAAAAGCCCTCTCAACAAAAAGTGAAACGCTGATGGTTTGATTTCAAGGTTTTGTTTCCTCCTTTTTAGTTTATGAGTTTGTTCTAGTAAACCATAGTTTAGATAAATAAATAAATCAATAATAATAATAAATAATAGATTTAGATATGTAAATGGATAATAAACAGATAAATAAATAATACATAGATAATAAATTTAGATATGTAAATAAGTTTAGAAAACTACCACGATTTGCTCACCTGCCAAAGGCAGTAGAAGATTTACTTGAACAAAACCAACATTCATTAACAAAAAAATGTCATCGCACCCAAATTCCAGCATGTAAGTTTTATACTATACCAACTATTATACCTGTGAACTGAAAAGCAAGCAAGGACTGGAAAAATCAGCCTTTCGCCTAAAAGCTAATGAAAAACTGAATTAGTCAGATGACACCAAAAACACAGGAGAAGTCAGTCACCTGATGCATGCCAGCATGTGGATTTAAAGCACTTTTCAGTGTATTCTGGACAAGAACTGTTCATGCCATGCACCTGCAAGACTAATTACTATGTACTTTTATTTTTTTGTTGTTTTAAAACTTTCTCAAATAACCACATAAAACCTTAACAGTTAGCTATGCACACTGAAGAGGGAAAGAAGGAAGAAAAGCATCAGGAGAACAGAGTATTAGCCTCTGACAATTAGCAAAAAACCTTACATAGAATAGCTCCTACCACTCGAGCAGTAATGGCGAAACTATTACCAAATATTTTTTTGTGCAAATGATTAGCATAATTTTGTACTTTATCAAAAGATCCCCGCCAGGCAGTGCCAGCAGGGAATACAGTGGTGTAAGTCCAAGCCATTCATGAAGTTTCACCATGCTGTCCACGGGGAACAAAAAATCTCACTAGATAATGAGGTGGTTTAAGGGTCTTTTAATGCAGCCTTGTATCTCTTAACTAGGCAAGGGAGCGTGGCATGAAAAGCCCGATCTCCAAGAGCCACCCCGTAGGCAAACCTGCATTCTGCAGATAACTAAGACACTCTTGGTCGCAGTAAGGGCTACAGAAACCAAACGGGACGCCCAGGCAAAGCAACCTCGATAGCGCATCTCTGCGATACCCTTCAAACTCCACGAACCCCCAGACCCCAGGACGCAGGCCTGCTTACAAAACATAAACAAAAACCCCAAGAAAGCGAGCAAAAGCAAGTTACGCCTGTGAGAAGCAAGCGGGGCCTGCCACCCGGTGCCCGGCGGGGAGCTCCAGCAGCCCCGGGGCCAGAGGGCTTAAGGCAGCCCCGACCTCACCGCGGTTACGCCCGCCAGGGCCTCCCGCGGGCCCTTCGACAGGGAAACCGGCACGTCGGGCTTCTGGCTCCAACAGCGGCGTTTCACACAGAAGCCCGGGACCGAGCCCCGGCAGCAGGGAAGGCGGCGAAAGGTGACCCCCACCAGCCGCCGCGCCCGGCCCGGGCCCCGGCCCCGGCCCGCCGCTGACCTTGGCGGAGGTCGGGGTCCTGCAGGACGTCGTGCGCGCGGTAGTCCTCCACGCCGTGCAGGCGCAGGATCTGCACGACGGCGTTGCTGAAGCCGCAGAGGGGCTGCGCCGGGCTGCCCTTCATGAACACCACCACCGGGTG